CATTTAGAAAAATTGGCTTCTATGCAGCATCAGTTGGACTTCATTAAAATAATAAGAGAGCTAAGTTAGTAAAAACAAACCTGGCCAGTTGGCAACCTCAGGCTTTTGTCAGGACTGATCTATGCCGAAAGATATAGATTTAGTCCATCTACAGTAATAAAGTCCCATGATCCTGTGGTTAAAATGTCTTTTTCCCCTGCTAGCTGATGCAATTCATTAATTATATGACATTTCCACAATGATTTCTCCAGAAGAAGGCCCTGGATGCCAAGGTTTACATTACATTTTCAATTACAATGCTATCCATATGGTGACTCTGCAGTATGTACAACTGCTTAATGTGCATCCAAGCCCTGCTGCAATGCTTGTGGTGAGTTGGGAAATCATTTTCTGGATGTTGGGCTCCAGGGTGATTCCCACACTGGTGATCCCTGCAGGAAGGCGTGCTGGTTGCGCTGTGTCATTTGGAGCCACCAGAATCCATTCCTCTTGAGCTGTGAGGATGAGCTCTGTGTAGCCTGCCAGGGCTCTGGGAAACCAACCGTGTTGCAGGCAGGATTTTAGACCCAAAGATAAATGGGGTCGTTCCAGGCATGGGTCTTCCAGTGAGGCAAGGGGAGGCTAGTAAAGAGGCAAAGCCTCTGTATTGTCACATCTCGTGTTGTTGAATCATTAAGGCTGGAAAAGTCCTCTAAATAGGATCATCAAGTCCAACCATCCACCTACCACCAATACTGACCATGTCCATCAGTAGCACATCTCCATGGTTCTGGAACACCTCCAGGATCAGTGACTCCCCCACCTCCATGGGCAGCTGTGCCACTGCATCACCACTCTTCCAAACCTCACACAACTTAAAGCCACCACGTCTTGTCCCATATTCTGACATCCTTATGGCAGGGTCAGCTCTGTATATATCTAGAGGATGATGAAGGCATGCTATAAGGTGCTGTGATGGGTCTGGAGCTGGTGTGGGTGGGGTTCCCATGCCACACAGCACACTGATAGCCACATCAGTGTTCATCTCGCTCAGCCAAAATCAATTGCTGCTGTAAATCTGCTCAATTCACTGATACCAAGCGTGCAGGTTGTGATGTAAGTACTGCTGAATCTGAGGACCTGTGTTAACTTGGATGGACCCTTTGGAGGAAGCCTCATTAACAGCTATTGTGTGACACTCAATGGGCACCAAACAAAGCAGCTCCTGCCTGTCCTCTGTGCAGAGCCAACAAATGGCCTTGCTGGTGGAGGCCAGGTCCTGGTGCCCGACCTCCTGCAGCACCACTCCCATGCACTGATGCTGTTTGCTCAGTTGCATTCCCATTAGCTCTGCAGCACTGTAACCTTAAAGTAGTAAAGCAGTGGCATATATATAGTTGAACAATTATATGTATTGTGGCTAAATTTCCCCCTGAAGATCTCATTCACGATGTTAGAGTGAAAGGATCATAAAATGAATTAATAGCTGATTCACTGTATAATTTCCTAGTTCAATATACTTTAGTGTACCGGCTAAATGAGCCATACACAGCATTCAGCTCGGCCAGTTAACAGCTTTATCATTGAGATCTCAGGCTTAGAAATAAAAGCAATTCTTCTGAAGTAATTGCGTCTAATTAAAAGAAACATTTAAAAAGTGTAACCAAAAGGAATTCATTTCAAATGGAAAATTAATGCTGAAAAATAGCCCTGAGCTCTCTTGTCTTTGCTAATAGCTAAGCATTCTCAGAATAATTAAACTGTTTTGAAATGTTGATACCTTCCCCTGTTAGAAATGATGGCCGAGGCCCGAGAAACCAGCAGGTCCTCAGCCTGGCCCTGGACTGCAGAGATGCACAGCCTGGGGTAACTTCCCATTGGGAAGCCAGCACCAACGAGGTTATTCTATTTTTGGTGTTAAAAAGACAAAATCCAAATGCTTGTGACCCACGTGACTCTTCTTGGGGTGATCAGGACGTGAGAGCTCTGAGAATTCAACTTTGGGTTTGTTCTCTGAAATCTTTGTGGGATGGGAACGAAGTTTCTCATGCTGCTGTAAGGGGGAGTGTTTGGGGCTGTTGGTTACAATTGCCAGTGCCTGCTGAGTTTCTCGAGTTGTGTTGTTGGTAAATACAACAGAACTGAGTGAATGGCACGCAAGGTGCTGTAAGCTCTTGCCTTAAGACAGAATTGTGCCTCATGTACTGTAGTGTGGCTTTCTTCCTTAAATGCTACTGAAAACATCCCCGTTTCTAAGGGAATAGCTAAAGCCAAAGCCTGAACTCACAGTGAGCACCCTGTCCTGGTCAGCTGCTTAAGATTCAGCCTCTATTTTTTGGTTGATCCAGAACTTTCTTTTTTTTGGTGTGGTTTTTTTTTTTTTATTATTATTCCTGAGTGTTTCTAATTGAGCTAACATTATTAGGAGGTTTAAAAAAACCCTTTCCCAAATTCCCTTTGCATTTCAGTAGCTCTTTAATATGCAAGGCAGCAAGAGATGAACTGGGTCTAATTACGAGTCCCTGGAGTAGCCAGTCAGAAAATGAATTGATGCCTTTTTCCTTATGAACAATGCATGTACCACAAATTAGAGGCGCCATCACCAGAGATTTAATTACAAAATATCATTACTTTCACACATCATTTCAGATTTGGCCTGATCAAATCAAAGTTAGGGGGAGAGGGAAGGGGGAGGCGGGCGAAGGGAGAAAACTGCACCACTTGCAGGGTCAGTCATTCAGGGGTACGTGAGTGCAGGAGGGAATCGGTGATGCTGAGGCTTCCCAAAGGGCAGCTCTGCAGGGAGGCAGTGGGAGGGAATGTGTTCCCTTCCCCAGTTTGGCTCTGGGGATCCATGGAGTGGGCACAGCCAGGGCTGGGTAGGCTTCACCCTGCAGTGCTGCCCAAAGGCAACGTGTCCCTGTGCTGAATGCTGCACAGAGGGGGTTGTTGTTAGATAGGAGAAGCATGATAAAGTAGCCTCTTGGCTGCTATTTCTTATGTGGACTGGGCTTCCTCTCCCTCCAGCAGCAAAAGCTGCTTATGGGAAAAATAAAGGAATTCAAGATGTATCAGAGTGGAGTTCAGTGTGTTTTCCTGCATCGTTCTCAATAAACCTCCCCCCCTCAAAAAAAAAAAAGAAGCTGAAGCTATTTGTGCCAAAGTACATGATGAATTTTGTCAGGGAGTGCCTGCCAAGGGAGGTCTGGAAAGTCATCTGCTGCGGCATTCAGCCTGTTATCATGGTTGTGATGTTACCAGAAAAAGGGTCTGGAGTGTGGTGGGAAGAGGGCTTAGCTGCTCCTGCTGCCCTGAGCTCTGTTCATCCTAAAGAATACAGAGTGAGCAGCTCATGGTCCTCTTCCTAGGCAGGCAGCGTGTAGCAGTGCATCCAGAGAGGGGCAGTGGGGCTGTGAGGGGTCTGAGCACAGTGGGGTCCTATGGGGAGCAGCTGAGGGAACTGGGATGGTTCAGTCTGGAGAAGGGGAGGCTCAGGGGAGACCTTATTGCTGTCTGCAGCTCCCTGAAAGAGGTTGTGTGAGCGGGGGTTGGCCTCTGCTCCTGTGAAAGAGCAACAGAAAGAGAGATGATGGCTTCAAGTTGCACCAGGGAAGGTTCAGGCTGGATATCAGGAAACATTTCTTCTCCATAAGAGTGATGATGCAGTGGCACAGCTGTCCAGGAAGGTGAGGAATCACCATCCCTGGAGGTGTTCAAGAACTGTGGAGATGTGGCACTGAGGGATGTGATCAGTAGACAATATTGGGTGAGCTGGAGTTGGATGTGGGGATCTTAGTGGTCTTTTGCAACCTGAATGACTATGTCAGAATGGAAAATCTAGTTGAGTGTTCAGAGGTTTGGATGGTTCCCACGTGGAGCAATCCCCCTACAGCAGGAGTGGAAATGTCCTGGTGAAATGAAGAGGTGCAGCCCCATAGCACTGAATGCATCCCTGAGCCATTATTCTGCTGCAGCAAGCCAACATTACAGCACTAGAAATCCTCATTTCCCACCGCAGGGAAGAGGTGAGGCTGTTCTCTCTGCAGAATGGCACCTGCCCAAGGCTGATATACAGGGCCGGCTGCTGAGCGAGGTCACAGATGTGAGCCGAGGCCACAAATGCAGCTGTGGGCAGGGAGGGCTTGGAGCTGCCCAGCTGATTTACAGCCCTGCACCACGCCTGGGCCGGGGGCTGCGTTATTTCTCAGCCCGACACATGAGCCAATGGCTTCCAGAAGCTAAAATGCTCCTCAAAATTTATGAGGAAAATGACGGCTTGTTGAATACATGATGTAGCGAGATGTAGTTTTACATTAACTTAAGAGGCATTTATGGGGCAATATTCATCTTCTCTGTATTATGGCAAGTATAACGTGAGAGGATGCTATGTCACAGGGATATGAGACCTGACAGCTATGGTGTAAACAGGGAGACCGTGATGGAACAGAGCAGAGTGCTCCCTGAGCACAGTGAGCACCAAGCAGTGATGTGGGCAGAAATAAACCCAAAGGGCTGTAGAGCTGCTGCACTGATAGCAGAGGGGGCTGCAGCAAACGGAAGGATTTGTAAGCACAGAACGAAGGGCCGAGGCTGGAGAGCTGCCTGCTGAGGTCTCTGCTGGAAGACAGGTTGCAGAAGCCATGCTGGATGAGAAGGATGACATATCAGCCCCATTAGATAGAAGAGAAATTAAAAGGATGGATTGATATCAATTATCAGGAGCAATTTGTTGCTGCACAATTGACATGTTAATCACCTCCTTGCTGCGTTTCAGCATGGCGAGATTTTTTTTGACCAATTTGAAAGGTTTACAGCAACAATATGATGCTGATTTATCTCTCCTTAATAAAAAAGTGATCAACTGAAACCTGCATCCATCATTCTGTTTATCACTCATGGTGATTTATTAACTAATTATACTTACAGTGGGTCTTTTTCTATAAGTATGGATAACGGAGTGATGCAGTGTCAGTGCAAGTCATAAATAATGCCACAGTGCAGTGTGTTTAGTCTTAGCTTTCAGGACCAGCCCATAACAAGATGCCTTGATTAAGGTAAGCAGATGGCGTCATTTGTCTGATTTCAGGGCCAGACATGAAATTGCACACGGAGGAAACAAATCCATTGCTCACGTTTCCAGCACTGGCAAAGCTGTGGTTACAAAGTGCATCACCACAGTGCTGGCACTGCCAGAGCCCTGCAGTGCACGGACTGTGATTTGGGGTCCTTCCCTAAGAGACTCTGCAGAGCCCAATGGCATTTTGGCAGCACAGTGTGAGACACAGAGTGCTGCTCAGCTTTAGTGGCATTTTTCCCTTCCTAAAATCAGTTCTGCAGCATTTTGGTCTGAACCAGAACCACTCTCTAAATTTCTCACCTTGGCGTTTGCCCACAGATACACGTGTGGAGGATAAATCCCATTGTTTTAAAGGGTTTTTTCTTTTTCATCCACCACTGGATAGGTCCATGATGGACACTCTGGATCTGAGCTCCCTTGGTTTTCAGTCTGGCATAAATATAGATCATAGATCATGTGACTGTTTGGTATTGATTGATCCCTGTAATTAAGAAGCTCATGTAAATGCAGCATCAGTTGGTCATTTCCTATCACCACCAGGCCCTGCTCCCAGCTCTGCCAGCAACAGACTCTGCTCTTGTCTTAATCTCATTGCTTTCTATCCTGAAAGGTAGGTGCAGCACATACATTCTTTGGGACAGAGCATCTTATTTTATTTGGACATCTGTGAGATCTCAAATTAAGCCTCTGCTGATGGCTTACTCTATTTTTTCCCTGTGTCTGTGCTGTGAGAACGGCCTCCTTACCTAAGGGAATGCAGGCACAGAGTGGCAGCAGCCTGCAGCACAAAGCAGCAGCACGTCACAGTGCATTGCAGGAGGCCAAACACTCTGTGACTTCATCCTGGAACACGAGTGTGGAGAGGAGGGCACATGGGTGGATGGAGAGTAATCAGTGCATCAGCAGCAGCATCTCTGACCAGGAGAGAGCACTCAAAGCAGCAGTGAATAATGAAGTTATTACACAGGCAGTAGTTTAAAAGCAAGGTGGAAATGATGCAGACTATCCTTGCTTGGAAATGTTGTGGTGTGGCTTATCAGCACCAGCACTGTAGTGCAAGGAGTGTGGCTGCAGGTAAAGCAAAAATCAGAGTTCACCCTGGAGGAGCAAAAAGGGACAGGTTTGTTGTTTATGGGGGAATTAAGCACTTAGGGGCATCATTGACACCAAACAGATTCAAGGGTAGGAGGGGAGAGGTGAGTTGGTTTGCTCTCCTTCTCCAGAGCTTGGAGGGGTGAGCAGGGCAGAGCTGCACAGGCCCCTGGGGTTGGGGGGAAAGTGGTCCCATCTTCCTGTGTCACAGATGTGCTGAGCCAGGACAGCAGCTGTGCTCAGGGTGCAGTGCCAGCTCCATTCCCACACAGGGAGCTTTCAGGAATGTCACCCAGATGGGGTCAGTTCCTGAAGGATGCTGAGATCTGAGTGGCAAATTCTCAGTGTAACATTTGAGGAGTGAGCAAAAAGAGGAGAGGAGAGGAGAGGAGAGGAGAGGAGAGGAGAGGAGAGGAGAGGAGAGGAGGGGAGGGGGGG